TGGTGAGTACAGGGGCAAGGAGGTGAAGGTGTGGTGTGGGTTGACTGAGAAAGTCTGCATCGACCGTCCCGACTCCCTGCCTGCTCTTATCCTCTTGTGTCCTGTAGCCACAGCTGCCCAGGACTCCCTGCTGCCCTACTTCCCCACCGTCATGGAGCTTCTCCGAGAGTTCCTGCTGACAGGCCACGAAGACCTTCAGCTTGTACAGATCCAGAGCCTGGGTGAGGAGGGACCTTGATTCAGGCGGGGGTCCACCTGCTGTCCCCAGGGACCTCTCCCAGGGCAGTCGGCTGTCTTCCTTTGGTGAAAAGGCACTCTTCGTGTTGTACCTGAGAGTAGGGTAGAGTTTTGAGTGCCTTCCACCCTTGGTTCTGGAGTTGATTTCCACATCTCAGTGCTGGCTGAGCCCTTGTTCCCACAGAGACCCTGGGAGTGCTGACCCGAGCAATGGGAGAGTCCATGAGGCCAATGGCTAATGAGTGCTGCCAGCTGGGGCTGGGGTTATGCAGCCACGTGGATGACCCTGACTTGCGGCGCTGCTCGTGAGTGACCCTTCATGGTGTTCCTGCCCCTCCTGCCCACCCACCAGGGATTGACAGTCCTCATCCCAACTACCAAACCACAGCCAGTTTTCCTGGGCTCTCCCGTTTTGTCTGTCTATAGCAGGCAGCACTATACAGATTCTCTCTACCTTCATCAGGTACAGCCTGTTTGCAGCCTTATCAGGGTTGATGGGAGAGGGCCTGGCACCCTACCTGCCTCAAATTACCACGCTTATGCTGTTATCACTGCGTTCCACCGAGGGCATTGTGGTGAGCAGAGGATGGGTGTACTGGGCTGGATAGACCAGGCTAGCCCTGTGATGGGGATTTATCTTGTCCCACCTGAGCCAAGATCCCTGCTCGGCTTTCTTCATCTAGCCTCAGTATGATGGGATCAACTCCTTCCTTCTGTTTGATGATGAGAGTGAAGAAGAAGAAGAAGAGGACCCCATGGATGACGATATGGAAGAGGACGACGACTCTGAGATCTCGGGGTAGGAGGAGGTGCTCTTCTACTTAAGACTTTGAGCTGGGCGATGGTGGCACACACTTTTAATCCTAGCACTTGGGAGCCAGAGGCAGGCAGATCTCTTGAGTTGGCCTACTCAAGAAGAGCCAGGGATACACAAAAACCCTGTCTTGAGAAATAAAGACTTTGGTTCTGGATGTGGGCCCAGTGCTGGATGCTCTCCTTGCAAGCATCATCACCGCCTCCCCACCTGCCCCCAGGTACAGTGTGGAGAATGCCTTCTTCGATGAGAAAGAAGATACCTGCACTGCCTTGGGGGAGATCTCTCTGAACACCAGGTGAGCATCAGCCCTTCCATGCTGCTGGGAACCGTTCCCAGGACCCTTTTCCCCACTGCTGTGTATCTTTCCGTAGTGTGGCCTTCCTCCCATACATGGATAGAGTCTTTGATGAAGTATTCAAACTGTTGGAGGTGAGTCAGTGGAGCCTCAAGCTCCAGTTAGTGTTGTCCTCACCTTGCACCTGCCGGGCACACACCTGCCCTCTTTGTTCCAGTGTCCCCACGTGAATGTGCGGAAGGCAGCGCATGAGGCCCTGGGGCAGTTCTGCTGTGCGCTACACAAGGCCTCTCAGAGAAGCCAAGCCGCCAGCACTGGTGAGGAGATGCCGGCAGGCTGGGAGCGTTGGGAACTGGCAGGGCCTGACCACGGCTCTGGTCAATTCTGTCTCCAGCTCTGCAGCTTTCCTTGGCTCGAGTGATGCCATCTTACATTCAGGCAGTGAAAGTAGAAAGGGAACGCCCAGTGGTGATGGCAGTGCTGGAGGCCCTGACAGGGGTGCTACGCACCTGTGGGACTCTCGCCGTGCAGCCCCCTGGACGCATCAATGACCTCTGCATCGTGCTCAAGACTGTGCTGCAGAAGAAGGTGAGCGGGGAAGGGGGGCTGTGGGGAGAGGAGGCACCGGGTCGCAGAAGAGTGAATTTTCAGAGGCTTCAAGTCCAGCTCTGCCCATCTCACCATCACCGCAGAAAGGAGAAGGCAGGAGAGCCCACACTCACTGAACTGTGTCTTCCACAGACAGCCTGTCAGAACTCTGAGGAGGAGGAAGAGGATGACGATGATGACCAGGTAAAGTTTCAGATGAAAGAGGTCTAGGTAATGTAGTTAGTCAGGGCCAGCAGTGAACAGTGCACTCAGCTTAGCCTGGAGGAACCAGGGCTGGTGAGAGAAGTTGGTGACTACCAGAAAGGTGGTGAGGTGTTCAGAGGCGAGAGGCATGCCGTGGGGCAGCATTGGCAGTGCTGGGCCTGGGCTCTTGAAAAGCCATCCTGGAAGCGAATCGGTCTGTGAAATTAGGGCAGCCCCAGAAGCACCTGCAGCCAGTGCAGAGCAGGATTGGGAGCTGCACAGTCCCAGGGCTGGCCTCGGTGCTCCAGCCCCTGCCCTGGCTCCGCAGGCCGAGTATGACGCCATGTTACTAGAGCATGCTGGAGAGGCTATCCCGGCCCTGGTCGCTGCAGCTGGAGGACAGTCCTTCGCTCCTTTTTTTGCCAGTTTCTTGCCATTGTTGCTGTCTAAGATGGTGAGTGCTCTGTCCCCTGACCTCACATCCCAGTCTACCTGTGCACCCAGTGCCTGCAGCCCCACCTCCATGCCAATTTGTACTCCTTCAACCTCCCCTCTAGAAACAGAACAGTACGGTGGCAGAGAAGTCCTTTGCAGTGGGAACCCTGGCAGAGTCCATTCAGGGTCTTGGTATTGCCTCAGCCCAGTTTGCGTCTCGGCTATTCCCTATACTGTTAAACTCTGCCCGGGAAGCAGACCCTGAGGTGCGGAGCAATGCTATCTTTGGGCTGGGTGTACTTGTAGAGCATGGGGGCAGGCCTGCTCAGGAGTATCCTATGCTTGCAGGAGGGAAAATGGGGTTGGAAGTGAGTCCAGGGATTGGTGAGGTGCTGCTGCAGGGTGAAGTCTGCCAGTGTGTGTATTCCTTAACTGTGCACCAGTCACTTCCCTAAGCTACTGGGCTTCCTCTTGCCCCTCCTGGCAAGGGAGCAACATGATCGAGTTCGTGATAACATCTGTGGGGCTCTTGCCCGAGTGCTGATGGTCAGTCCAGTAAGGAAACCAGATCCCCAGGTGAGGGAAGGGGCATCAGGCAGGGGTGGAGGCCAAGGATGGTGGAGGGGACAGGACACGTGGGCCTGAGACGTCTGTGTGTTCAGGTGCTGGCTGCCCTGCTACATGCCCTGCCACTGAAGGAAGACATGGAGGAGTGGATCACTATGGGTTGCCTCTTCAGCTTCCTGAACCTGCACGGCCGTGACCAGGTACCCTGCTGCTGGAGCTCTCTGGAGAGTGTGAGGCTCCAGTGTAAGGGCGGGCAGAGGAGATGGCAGCTGTAACTGTAGACCAGGCTGGCCTCTAACTCACAAAGCTGCCTGCCTCTGCCTCCCGCGTGCTGGGGTTAAAGATGTGTGCCATCTTTTCCTTCCCTGTATCCCCAATTGGCCCCAGCCTGTTATATAGCTGAGGACGGCCCTGATCCCTAAGACCTTCCCCATCCATTCTCCACCTCCCAAGTGCTGGGATTACAGGTATGCGTTAGATTTAATTATAGCAGTGCTAGGGACCAAGCCCAGGCAGGGCCTCTTGCATTCTGGGAAAAGACTTCTACCAGCTGAGCTACATCCCCAGCTTCTTTTTTCCTCTGTGTGCAGAGTTGGCAGACAGTCTGATATGAGAGTAGGGGCTTCTGGTAGCATTTTCCCACTTCCCTTGGGCTAAGCCAGCAGCCCTAACTTCCCTAGGTCAGGGGTAGGAAAACAGTTTCACCATCCACCAGAATCTGCTTCCAGAGCGATTCTGTGTATACCAGCTAGCACGTGGGAACACACGCCCCAATGCTCTTGTGTCCCTTCTGTCTTAAGTCTGCTCTGTGTGTTGGGTGAGTATTTGGATGCTAGATTTCGTTGGTTTTGAAGCTATAACTTTAATCTTTTGTCACATATCTTTGCTACCTCCAAAAAGAGATTACTATGTTTCCTTATTCCTTCTCTAGTTCACAGTTGGGTTGGGTGTCAACTCAATTTCATGGGCTTTTTTTCCCTTGGTTCCAACCAACTCTTCTAAGCCCTGGGGCCCTAGGCTGTTACTGCCAGATCTGACCAATCCTTTTCCATAGGTTGTAGATGTGGTTCCTGAGCTCTTACGCATCTGTAGCCTGATTCTGGCAGATGACAAGATTGTGCCAGGTGAGGGGGACAGTTATAGCTAAGGACAAGGGAAAATGGGGCAAGAAGGGTGTCAGAACCCAGCCCTTCATTAGGTCCTCTCTCTTCATCCTCCCCAGACGCCAAGACATCACTACTGCATCTCCTGACGTTCCTGGCCAAAGAGCATGCTGACAGCTTCCATGCAGCCCTGGGCTCACTGCCTGCTGATAAGGCTCAGGAACTCCAGGCCATGCTGGGCCTCACTTAGGCTCCAGGCTTCAGCTGGGCCAGAGGGCCTGAAGACCACCAGTCAGCCTAGGCCCAGCTCACCTCACCAAAGACTGTATCATTGGAAGTCAATCCTGCTTGCTGTCTTAACAGGGGTGTCTCTGGGGCTGGGTCTATTACAAGCAGAGCTGTGACACCATACTGTAATAAAGGCAGCTTGTTTTCTGCTTGGACACTAGCTCTGAGAGCGCGAAGACTAGAGGTGTGCATTCAGAAACGAGACAGGCACGGGGCTGGGTGTCCCAGCACTGAAGAGGGCGTTCTGTTCCTGCAGAGAATGGAGTTCAGTTCCTAGAACCCACACTAGATGGCTCAAAACTGCCTTGAATTCCCGCTCCAGGGTTTAATGCCCTCTTCAGGCCTTCCCAACCCAACTGCACTCACTTGCATGTTCCAACACACAATTTAAAACTAAAAATAAATCAAGAAAAAAAAAAAAAACCCACAAAGTCCAGTGAGGTAGGATACGGTTTAATGAACTTGCTTAGTGGAATCTGGGACCCCGATGGATCAGGAGGCGCCCATATGGCTTCTCTTGTTCCACAAGAAGGATCTTCTCTGCGGACAGCACTGGTAGGGAAAGGACAAGGCAGGAGTGTGTTAAGCTTCTGGCCTGTCTGCCCCTATCTCTCTTGTATCTATACTCACCCAGGAGCAGGTAGAAGACCCGAGAAGCCAACTTCCGGGGGCTGAGAGGAGGTACCAGGCTGCTGAAGTCAAGCTCCCTGTTGGCTTGCAGCTCCAATGCTACTGCTCTGCAGGGATTGAGGGCTATCAGCCAGGGTAACAGCCTAGCTCTACCCCTTGAAGGACCCCTTCCTGATACCTAAATACAGCCTCTGAAGAGAGTAGCTCAGGTCCTGGGGGCATCTCCATGGGCACTTCCGGGATTTCAGGCAGCATGGGCAGTGCAGGAGGCTCTGGCTGCCCCTCTTCAGTCCAGGCCCTAGCAGACCAAGGGAGTAGCTCAGGGAAGAGGGCCGGTAGTTGTGACAACAGGCAGGACCACTATGGGGTTGAGCTTGGAGCCCCTGGCTGCTTACCACCGTTCCTCTTGGGGGATGAGGCTAGTCCGTGACTTTTCCTCTTCAGCTGCTTCCAGGGAGAGCTCTGCGAGGAAGAGAGCACTGAGGAGTCTGCTCGACTCTAAGGAGCTGGGACCTTGTCATCCTGGGGATGTAGTGCATTCGCCTGGCATGCACAGGGCCCAAGACTACGAAGCTTCCCCTCCCCATATCCTGTGGCCTCTTGCAAAGTGAGGACACTAAGCATCAGGCCTGTGTTGAGTTCTGCATGCCCCTCCCTGCTGGCTGGTAGGATAGTGGTCTCCACCTGCCCCTCTCCAACACCTACCTGAAGAGAGCATGAGGGGACCACTGGGCTCCTGGGCCTCCCTCAGGACCTGCAGGTGAGAGAGCAAGAACTGAGACCTGAGCACTGGGGTCAGGTCTAGGTCTGGTAAGCAGGCTGGTGTGCGTCAGGAGAGAGCTGGCCAGAGCTGAGGCTTACAGGGCACGGTGGAGGCAGTTACCTCAATCTCGCTCAGAGCTTCAGTCAGTCTTCCCTCCTTGCCTGCCACTTCCCTCTCCTCAGCTGCCTCTTCAGGCTCCTGTCGTGGTCTTTGTCTCAGCATTCTTGAGGGTGTCTGGGCACAGTGGGTCCATAAAGCTAGTAGTTCTGGCGCCAGCCAGCCCGCTGACGACAAAGGGGAAGGTTGAAATCATGGGACAGAGGATTCCAGGTTCTGAAGATCCCACCTGCCCAACCGTCATCCTTACAGAGAGTCGGGGTTCTGAAGAGCTGTGCTGGGCTTGTAATCATCCTTTGGGGAGGCTGGATCACGGGCTGCAAGAGGGTGCAAGGCCAGTGGCCCGTTTATGAGAGCACCGTTCGTCACTACCCCTCTTTTGTACATTGTTCCCAGAGCCTGTGCCTGCTTTCGGGCTCATGACCTGGCCTGTAGGGGCTAAATGGGTAGATGGTGATCTGATGTCGGTGGATATGTGATGTAGACACAGTCCCCCCCCCACGTACATTCTAGGAAATAGGGTCTTTTGATATATTCTCAGGGATCCTTGGGAGGTCAGAAGTCCAGCATGCCTCTACTCCCTGGGGAGAACCGGAGCTGCACTCACATAATCCCAGCAGTGAGCCCTGGTCTGCAGCTGTTCCTCAAATTTCTTCCGGGAGATCTGAGTTTCCTTGTCCCAGATGAGTAACTGGCGGCGTTGGCGGCCAGGTGGGCTCGGAGGAGGCGGGGGCCTCTTCTGGAGTGGAAGGGGAGGCAAGGGTCAGGCTGCCCACCTCCCCTTTCTAGTGGACTACTGATGGCCCCACACTCTGCCCAGAAGAAGCTTGGGTAAAGTTCTTATGCAATTCATAGCTTACTCAAAGGTACCTATTGGGAAGAGGCCACACCACGAGGAAGGTATGGGAAGGGACATTGTTTGTTGATGGAAGTAAAATCCTCACTGTAAGCTAACCATGGCCCTGAGCTTAAGGACAAAGATGTAGGAGGGGGAAGGTAAAGAGGATGAGCTTGGGGGAGAACCTACTCACCTCTGCACTCGGTGGGGTGGGTAGGCGCAGCTCCTGAGGAGGGGTCACCTCTGCAACAACACCCATAAGCCCCCTCGCTGTTTTTGCCCTTTTTAAAGACAAGGTCTGGCATTCAAGTTCATGCTGGTTTACGATGATCCTGCCCCAGCCTTCTGGAGTGATTGGACTACAGGTGTTATTGCCACAATCTTGTTTTGTTTGTATTTTGATTTTGGAGAGAGGGTTTCTTTGTGTAGCCCTTGATGTCCTGGAACTCACTATGTAGACAAGGCTGGCCTAGAACTCAGATCCTCCTGCTTCTGCTCCCCAAGTGCTGGGATTAAAAGTGTGTGCCATGGCCAACTGGCTAGCCCCTTCATTCTTGAAGCTACTAGTGTCTTCCTCAGACAGTGGGGGTAAGGACTTTTGTCTCTACAAGTGTGCAAATGTTCCCAAGGAAGCACCCAGTGATGGACACTTACCAGTGAGTATGGCCTCAGGCTCCCAGCCTGTCAATTTCTGTACCTCAGGAGGGAAGAGCTGGCCTGGAAGTGGTTCTCTTATGCCTTCAACCCTGAGGGGAAATAGGCAGATAAGGAAACCCTTCCCCGCAATGACCCCTTACCTGGTACAAGGATTCCTGTCCTTACTGTGCTGGAGCTGGAGGTGAGATCGAGGGGACCACACCATCACCCTCCATGGCCCGGGGTTCTTCCTTGGATTCTGCAGAAAAAGGATCAGAACACTTAGGAGACAGAAGAGGGTGCTGTCCATCCATCCCCAGGTTAGCTGTGCGGGACCTCACCATCCAGTGCTGGGGAAACCCTCCGCTGCCGGAGAAGCCTGCGTCGCCGACGTTCCTCCAGCAATATGGCATCATCTTCCTCTGCAATCAGCAGGTCCAAATCTCCTCGACTGACCTCTGGGAGATCCTGCTCCCCCTATGGAGAGAGCAAAACAGTGTTTTTTTTTTTTGGGTTGAGCCCAAGGAGGCCCAGTGGGTACTAAGGAGACAGAGTGTGGGGAAATGGAAAAGAGAAGGCAGAACGACAGGGGTGCGATGGGGCTGGACTGGAGTTTAAAGGAAAATTCACCTCAATCTGCAACATGCGTATGGGCTCTGCCTCCTGGAGGGTGATGGTCTCAGGAGACTTTGCAGTGGCTAAGGTCCTGTCTGGAGGGGTAAGAAAGTCAAAGCAGCCCTATTCTTTTTGTTTTGTTTTGTTTTTTGTTTTGGTTTTTTTTTTTCGAGACAGGGTTTTTCTGTGGTTTTGGAGTCTGTCCTGGAACTAGTTCTTTTTTTTTTCTTTCGGATTTTCGAGACAGGGTTTCTCCGTAGCTTTTTGGTTCCTGTCCTGGAACTAGCTCTTGTAGACCAGGCTGGCTGGAACTAGTTCTTGTAGACCAGGTTGGCCTTGAACTCACAGAGATCCGCTGCCTCTGCCTCCCAAGTGCTGGGATTAAAGGCGTGTGCCACCATCGCCCAGCAGCCCTATTACTTCTTTCCAAGTTGTTGGGGGCAGGAACATTTTGGGGACCAAGAGCCAGGCTAGTCCCCAGCAAATACTCCCAAGCGCATCTTTTTTTCTCACTATGTAGATTAGGTTGGCTTCAAACTGAGAGATCCCGCCTGCCTCTGCCACTGCTCAGATTGAAGGTGTGCAGTCACCACACCCAGCCTGAGTCAGTTCGCAGCCCCTAGCTTTGAACTCTTGGTCTTCCTGCCTCTACTTTCTGTTTGCTGGGATTACAGGTGTCCACCCGCTTTGTTTTTGTTTTCCTTAACCAGTCTAGGCTGGCCTTGAACTCAGTATCTGACCTGGGCAGGTGTTAACTTTCAGTGGGATTACAGACTTGTCACCAGGCCTGGCTGGGTCTGACTCCTCAGGAGTTATTTATTCAGCTCTTGGGTCCCTGAGTCTTTGATCAGAACGGCCCTCCCTGCTGACTTGGCTCCCTGGGCTTAGCAGTGACTTCAGGAGGGGGTCTCCTTACCAATTTTCTCTGGGGTCACAGCCTCTAAAAGATGACGAATCTTTGGGAAGAAATTGGGAATGAAAGACAGATATCAGCTTCAGTCCTCTCTGGCCTCACTCAGAACATTTCAGCAGACGCTGGACACCAATCTGGCAGTCTCTCTTTGTACTTTTATCTTAGAATTTTTGCTTTATTCTTATTTATTTTAGAGACAGATTTTATTTGTCTACGTGTGCACGCATGGACCCTTGGAGGCCAGAAGATAGAACTGGATGTTGGATCCCTGGAGCTGGAGTTACAGGTGGTTGAAAGCTGGCAGTGAAGTCCTGTCCCAAACACGCCCATGCCCCCTAGGCATGGTTCCAGCCCCATCTGCACTTTGCCCTCTTAAACTTTCGATAGCCCTCCTCCTTGAAACCTGAGGGTTCTTAAATTAGTTACATCACCACATGCAGACACGCACACATTTCCAGAACTGGGAATCAAAGCCTTGTGCATGTTAAACAAATGCTCTATCACAGGGCTACACCTCCAGCCCTAAACCAAATCTTTGTGCCATTTGACAGCGATGTTATGAAGTCACCAACTTAGTTTCCCCCCTGTCCCCGTCCCTGTCCTAACCTCACCCTCAAAGTAGCCTTATCCATTTGTGCAATAAGTGCCACAACATCCATATAGCAACTGTTGTTGTGGACAGAGATGAATAGAAAGATGCTTGGGGGGGCTGGAGAGATGGCTCAGTGGTTAAGAGCACTGCCTGCTCTTCCAAAAAAGGTCCTGAGTTCAATTCCCGGCAACCACATGGTGGCTCACAACCATCTGTAGTGAGGTCTGGTGACCTCTTCTGGCCTGCAGACATACACACAGACAGAATATTGTATACATAATAAATAAATAAATAAATAAATAAATAAATAAAAGAAAGATGCTTGGGTAGATGGTAACGGGGACTGGTTTGTGTGTGGGGTCAACAAAAAGAAGACAACGGGCTTGGTAAAGGGCTCAGATCCCAACATAATTGCTTTTGGCTTCAAGTGGAGTAATTTCATGGCAAGGGTGTCATCAGACTAAGTCTGTAAGAATAAGGGACCCCCTGACCAGCAGAGAATGAAGAGCAATAAATGTATTTCTGCAAGCAAAGAAGTAAATGTGGCATTTGGGACATGGAAAAATATTGGTGTTTGGTAGCTAAGGTTGCCTAGAGAAGATAAAAAAATGGGATGGGTACCACTCAATTCAATCAAGATCCCTGATGCTGATACTGTATGTGTTCAGGACCAACTGCTTCAATGAGAAAATGGGGAATGGAGTGATGTCTAAGCTGTGGGGATGATGGGGAAGAACAACCAACATCTAGTCTCAGTGCTCGGAACAGTGGGGATAGGGGAGAATCAGGTCGGCCCTACGTAAGCAAGATCTGGGGCTTTGCTTGCTTGTTTGCATCCACCAGTCCCCTTGCTCTATGGCCTCTCATGGGTTCCATGCCCAGACCTCAGTGTCAGATTGGCACAAGGACACCAGCTAACTCTTCATTCTATACTATCATTTCATGATTTCTGAGGGGGTCTAGGGAAAGGAGCCCTACCTGAGGAATATCAAAAGGGCTGGGAAGCCTGGGATCCACAGACATCGTCCCAAAAAAAGGTTCTGGAGCATCTTCCAGCATCTCCATCATGGCCAGGCAGTTAGGAAGGAGCAAGTTGGGTCTGGGAGAGAATGAAGGACGTCAAGGACAAGGCTGAGAGCGGGTGAGATGGCTCAACAGGTAAAGTCCCTCTGACCTCCGCATGCATAGAATGGTCTCTCTCTCACACACGCATACACACACGCACGCACGCACACATTATTAAAAAAAAAAGCTGGCGCACACCTTTAATCCCAGCACTCAGGAGGCAGAGGCAGGTAGATCTCTTTGAGTTTGAGGCAAACCTGGGCTACAGAGCTAGTTCCAGGGCAGGCTCCAAAGTTATACAGAGAAACCCTGTCTTGAAAAACCAAACAAAACGAGGCTGAGGCCAAGCAGGTCTGGATGGCCGCAGCTCCAGGACTCACAGGTCAGCATCCTCCATGTCGATGCGAATCCGCAGCTGGGCCCGGTGCAGATGCTCAAGGATATGCTGGATGTCTTCTGTGGTCAAGGAGGATGAAACAACCAGGTTAGCCATGGACCATTCAGCTCTAGCCCTCCTCGGGTGTCCCCAGCCTTACCCACAAGGTACTGGCACTGTTGGGAGTAGACCCGTATCACACCAATCTGAAGCTGGGCGGAGAGATAGAGAGAGAAGCGGGGCCGGGGCAGCCCGGGCATCGGAGGTTGCACGCGTACCAGCACATAATTGAGTATTTCCTCGCTGGGAGAACAACGGACCCTGGTCAACCGCTGCACTCGCCGTAGCTCCCAAACCAGAGACTCCTCCCTCTTTTCCGGGCCTTACCAGGTCTTTACTACGTTCACTTTCAGATATTCCCGCTTCACCAACCGGCTGCCTCGGGTTGCCGCTAGCCTGGAAGGGTGGGGACGGGTATGGCCTATCAAATTGAAATTCCCACTACTTGGCTCCTCGCATAGCGGTCAGTCCTGCACTCACCAAATAGTGGCGAAGCAGCCTGTATGGCGCTGAAGCACGTTGGGATAGTAGAACATCTCCGCAGTTCAGGCTCCGCACCAATCCCGTCTGGATCTCAATCTGAATTCTTCAGGACGCAAGATTCCCAGCACCACTGAAAAGGAGTGGGAATTTGGACAGGGGGCATGGTGCATGTAGATGCAAAAAGCCCAATTAATAAGACGACCAACGCTGGGCGTGGTGTCGCATGCTTTTAATCCCAGTACTCAGGAGGCAGAGGCCGGCGAATGAATCTTTGTGCGTTCGAGGCCAGCCTGGTTTACAAAGTGAGTGCCAGGACAACCAAAGATACACAGAAACCCCGTCTTGAAAACCAAAACAAAAGAAAAAAAAAAGACGACCAACTTCTGGTAATTTAATTTGGGAGATAACCAAACGGAGACGCAGGTGCTGGGTACCCTTATTCTGCCATCCCTGAGGAGGTCTGCACATCACTCGAAGACATGGCACTTACCTTCAGAATTGACGTTCCGGCCAGAGATGCAGAGCTCCAAGGGGGAAGCCTGAAGAGGGCCAGAAAACGAACGAACGAACAAAAACCGGTCTTCAGGGAAGACTTGAGTGTTCGTCAGCTGTCGTCGAGCTTCTGGAACTTGCTCTAGGTTCAGTCGCCCTCCAGCGGGACCAGGAGCATGCTCTCCAAAGCTTTGCGCCAGGACAGCCAATGGGGAGCAGCGGAGGGGGAGCTCTGACTCCTGGTGCCAGGCAGCAAAACACGGTGGTTCCCGGCCATAGGCTCTTGGAGACGGGTCGCCAGCCAATCACGAGAATCCTGAGGACTACTGTAGCATTGTGAGGTGTCCTGGCCAATGGGCTCTCGTTCTCTCAGGTAGTAACAAGGACTTCTCCCAGGGGTTCATCTGACCAATAAACGGGGAGAAACCCAGTTTCACCCTGGAGACAACTTGCCAGCAGGATACCTACTAGAGTGGAAGATGGGGTCACGTCAAGGGCAAACGCCCCGGAGCTGCTTATAATACAGAGATGCAAGGGCCTGTGCACGATCCCAGTTCTAAATTCCACCAACCCGATTTTGTGTCCTGGAAGGGTCTGTGCTGAACTAAGTGCGAGAAACTGTGAGCCGGCCTTGTAATCACTACTTGTCAACAAGAAAGAAGGCAGCCACCAGGGCCGTAACTACAAACTTCTGAAATCTTACCTGGCACTTGGAATTTAGACAGGATCTCTGAAAAAGCTAAAGCAGAGTCCAGGAGTGGTAGTGCACACTTTTATCTCAGTAGCAGGAGGATCTTTACGAGTTTGAGAATAGCACCTCGGTCTACAGGCCAGTTACAGCACCATAGTGAGACTCTCTGTAAAAAAAAAAAAAAAAAAAAAAAAAAAAAGGCAAAAGAGGGCTGGAGATGTAGCTCAGTAGTACAGAGCTTGCTTGCATCCACAAGGCCTGGGCTCAAGTCTCAGAACTGCAGAAAAGGAAGGAAAACAGCCCTTGATCCTAGCGCTCAGGACGCAGAGTCAGCCAAACCCTGTCTGAGGCCATGATGCTCTACACAGTGACTTCCAGGCTAGCCAAGTGAGATTCAGTCTCAAAACCAAGCAAATAAAAACAACAGCAAAACTAAAAATGAAGGTGTGTGCATATCTGTATCCAGTTCTTGGGAGGGATAGCAAGAGTTGAAGGACAGTTTTCACCTCACAGCCTGGGTCATTTTGAGACCTAGCTCAAAAACCGTACACGGTTTCTTTTTCTTTCTTTCTTTCTCTCTCTCTCTCTCTCTCTCTCCCCCTCTCCCCCTCTTTCTTTTCTTTCTTTCTTTTCTGTTTTTTGGTTTTTCGAGACAGGGTTTCTCTGTAGCTTTGGAGCCTGTCCTGGAACTAGCTCTGGTAGACCGACCAGGCTGGTCTCAAACTCACGGAGATCTGCCTGCCTCTGCCTCCCAAGTGCTGGGATTATAGGCATGCGCCACCACTGCCTAGCTCGCTCTTTCTTTTTTCTTTCCTTCCTTCCTTCCTTCCTTTTTCTGAAAACGGTTTCAAAACCGAAAGAGATTGAGAGGTAGAGTATAGTGATTTATACATCATCCCAGCATTGAGGGGAGGGAGGTGAAGGCAGGAAGGCTGCCAGAGTTCAAGACCAGCCTGGATCATACTGTAAACTTGGCTAGCTGAGCCCTGCCTCAAAAATAAATAAATAAATAAACAAATAAGGGGGATGGTGGCACAAGCTTTTAATCCCAGGACTCAGGAGGCAGAGGCATGGCTCAGCTGGGTCTCTGTGAGTTTAAGGCCAGCCAACCTGATCTACTTAGTGAGTTCTGTGACAGCCAGAACTACATAGTGAGACCCTGTCTCAAAAACCCCAAACAAGGGCAGAGAGATGTCTCAGTTGTTAAGAGCACTCACTCCTTTGCAGATCTGGATTTGATTTCTACAAGGCATCTCACCATCTGAACTCCAGTTGGAGAGGATCTGATGCTTTTTCTGACTTTCTTTAATTTTTTGGTTTGTTTTATTTTGAGACAGGGTTTCTCTGTGTAACTAGCTGTCCTGGAACTAACTCTTGGACCAGGCTGTCCTTGAACTCACAGAGATCTGCCTGCCTCTGCCTCCCAAGTGCTGGAATTTCCTCCAGCAAATCCCCATCAATCCACCCCAGGAGCAAGATCCCAAGTCCTAATCCTTCCCAAAAAATTCTACCATGGTAGATGGAGGCTTTCAATATACCTGTCTTCTGGAAGCAGTGTATATTCAAAACAGCTCTGTGGTGATGGTGAACTGACTACTGTGGTCAGTGTATTCATGGTAGAGGGACGATGTGTTTCCCCAAATCCGGGTACTTGACATGAATTAGAAATGAAGACCCTTGAGACTTGGAGTTGGGTGCTTGTATACTGTCACATTTATTCAAGAAGGGAAAGATTTCCAGGTGTCAATACCGCGGCAAATGTGTCTCACACACACACACACACACTAACAATAATTAAAAAGCAAAAGTGGGGAACTGGAGGACCAGAAGATGTGGACAACTTACATGGGGTACCCAGGGGAGCTCTAAAGAGGTGGTATTTTGATTGAAAAGAAAGGACAGGTCATGTGACTGCCTGCAGGAAGATTGTTATCACTATTTGGATTTTTGAGACACAGTCTCTCTTTGTACCCCTTGCTGACCTGGAATTCACTATGTAGACCAGGCTGGCCTTAAACAGAGAACCACCTGCCTCTATCTCCAGTGCTGAGATTAAAGGCCTGTGCCACCAGCCAGCAGGGAACAGTATTTTAGAAAAAAAGAATAAACAAATTAAATTCTGAGGCAGCAATGTTTAGTGGGTTCAAGGAGCCTGGAGCAAAGCAGCTGAAAGGGTGAAGGATGAATTAGACATTGGAGGTTGGAGGTCATTTTCAGGACCCTGGTTTTTACCTTGAGGGCTTTGGGAACCAGGGGAGGCTGTGAGCACAGGAGCGAAATGACCAGATTTGTGTTCAGAGGGCCTCAGAGACGATGTGAGAAGAACCAAGAGGAGATGTGTGCGGATGGTGGAGCTGAAGCAGGGTTTTTGAGAACAATAGAAGGAGTACTAAGTGCCTTACACATAATCCACAATAGTTTTGTTGGAGCGGTTGGACTGCAGACATTAGCCCAGAACCCATTCCCTCCTCTTACCTGTTTAGCTTGGGTAGTTCACACCCAGTTCCAGCCCTTTTCTTTATCCTCTTCAGTGCTCCAGACTGACATTTTAACCCTGGTTTCCATTCTCACTGAGACATGTGTGAGCATGTTGCATATTCCACAGAAATCAGACCACACACACACACAGTTTATATTTTTACTTATTTTGTAAGTGTTGCAGGGGTGCATATGTGGAGGTCTGAGGATGACTCATAGCAAGCAGTTGGTTCTCTCAGTCTACCATGTAGAACCAGGGATTAAGCTCTCAAATCTTCAGGATTGGCAGCAGATGCTTTTACCCACTAAGCAATCTCACCACCACCACCACCTCTTTGAAAAAATTTTTTAGCCGGGCAGTGGTGGTGCATGCCTTTAATCCCAGCACTCGGGAGGCAGAGGCAGAGGCAGGCGGATCTCTGTGAGTTCGAGGAAGCTACAGAGAAACCCTGTCTTGAAAAACCAAAAAAAAAAAAATTTTTTTTTGAAACAGGATCTCACTTTGTATGTATGTACCTCAGGATGGTCTGGAGCTCAGAGATCTGCCTGCCTCTGCCTCCTGGGTGCCGGGAGTAAAGGGAGACACCAGGCCCATCCCCGCGAAGGCTTGTTTGAAGGAAGAGTGATATTGTCATTTTGGCTTAGATGTAGGGTCCAAGAGAAAAATTGAAGACAAAGATGTACTTTAGAGAAGACACAAAGAAGGTTCAAGGGGGATTTCAGAAAACTAAAGGCACAAAAGTAATACCTCCCCTTGTTTACTCTTGGCTTCCCTGAGGGACAAGGAACAGACTAAAGGGAAGAAAAAAGGTTCAAGCAGGCAGGGAAGCACAAAGATGTCTGGAAAGGTCCTATAAGGATTTCAACATCTAGACCTGATCACGTGAGTGAATCTAGAGGCTTGAGCCATGGCAAAAAGAAGAATAAATATGGTGTCATGTGCAGGAATGGGGATGCTGAAGGTGGTGGCAGTCAGGTGACAATGGAACCAACTCGGTGGCAGTGATGGAATAAGAGTGTCATTCGCCTGACGGATCTGAGTTCCAGGACAGCTAGGGCTGTTACACAGAGAAACCCTGTCTTGATAAAGAAAAAACAACAACAACAAAAAGAGAAGAGTGTCAGTTAATTGCAAGCACTCAAGTTTCAGTGAACAGGGTGCTAGAACATTTTTATTTTAGACAGGATTTCCCTGTGTAACAGCTCTCTGGCTGTCCTAGAAGTCTGTAGACTAGCCTGCTATCTCTGCCTCCCAAGTGCTGGAATTTGAGGCGTGTGCCACCACCCAGCATGAGTGTTTTGAAACCCCAAAGCCCACTGCCAGTGACACAACTTGTCCAACAAGGCCACACCTCTTAAACCATTCCCAGTCACTCTGAGGATCCTTTCAAA